CTCTTGTCCAATCCTGTGGCTTCCTAGCCATCAAACCCATTAGTACATGAGTTAAACTTGGCTTGCTTCACAAGGCAGGGGATTGGATTTGGAAGTATGGGTCTGGGCGTATGTAGTGGTTTGAATAGGTTTGGCCTGCAAAAACTCTTATGTTTGGCCCATGGGGAATGGCACTTTTAGGAGGTGTGGCCTTGTTAGAGGGAATATGTTACTGTGGGGCCAGGCTTTGAGATCTCCTATACTCAAGCTACACCCAGTGTGGCACACAGTCTTCTTCGGCTGCCTGTGGATCAAGATGTAGAACTCTTAGCTCCTTCTCTAGCACCATGTCTTCCTGGGCACTGCCATGCTTCCCACTAGGATGAATAAACCTTACACTGTAAGCCAGCACCAATGAAATGTTTTCCCTTATAAGACTTGCCTCGGTCATGGTGTCTCTTCACAATAGAAACCTTAACTAAAACAACTAATATTTGTGCATTGCTACATATTCTACATTGAACTCAGAGTATTCAGAGTCAGGATATCAACTGGCTCATAGAAAAGTGCCTGGGATGCTAGGAAGGAGGCTTATTCTGTTATTGTATCCATTTCGAGGTATAAAATTTCTATGGACCAAGATTAGAGTCATTTTAGAGATTAAGGAGCAAGAATAACAGGTATGCTTGAGAGGACAGGAACTCAAACAGGGCAGGAACCTGGAGGCAGGAACAGATGCAGAGGCCCTCCATAAAATCAGGCTACAGGCAACAGTTGTAGAGCATTTTCTTAATTAGTGATTGATGGGGGAGGGCCCAGACCATGGTGGGAGGGGCCAACTCTGGGCTGGGGTTCCTGGGTTCTACAGGAAAGCAGGCTGAGTAAGCCATGTGGAGCAAGCCAGTAAGCAGCACTCCTCCATTGCCTCTGCATCAGTTCCTGCCTCCAGGTTCCTGCCCCGTTTGAGTTCCTGCCCTTCCATGATGAACAGTGCTGTGGAAGTGTAAGCCAAATGCCTCCCCCCCCAACACACACACACCCTGTCCCTCCACCAGAAGTTGCTTTGGTTATACTGTTATATCGTAGAAATTGTAACCCTAACTAAGACCATGCTGTTATAACAAGATGCCATATGCTGGATGGTTTGCAAACATGCACTTACTGCTTACATTTCTGGAGGCTGGGAGGTCAGGCACAAAATGTTGGGAGGTTTGCTGTCTGGTGACTGCACTCTTCTTGGATCACAAGCAGTTATTTGCATACAGAGAAGACAAGAGAGAACCCTTTGAGTTTTCTTCTATTAAAACACTAATTCCAGTAGTAGGGCCCTACCCTCATGACCTAATCACCTATAGAAAGCTCTGTCTTCAATTCCACTGGGAATAAGGCTTCAGCAAATGTACTTGGGGTAGAGGACACAAACAGTAAGATCACAGCATATCTTATTTGTATTTACAAAGCATCTAACAAAGCAACCCTCTCCAGAATGCAGGATGCAGCTATGTTAGATGTCTGAAACCTAGCAACCACAAGAGAACAAAGAAAAGTACAAGGACATTGTGATACTAAGCACAATACGTGATTCATATAGATGTGTCTGAGTATATGTAAGCATGTGTGTATGGGTGCCCATGGAGGCCAGAAGAGGGCACTGAACAGTTGGAGTTATAGACAGTTGTGAGCCACTAGACATGAGTGCTGGGAACCGAACTCTGGTCCTTTGCAAGAGCAGCCAGCGCTCTTACCCACTAAACCATCTTGAGGATACTTTCTGAAGTGCTCATGAAATCCTCAGCATTTTATCATATCACAGTGGGCCTCACCTCTCTGTCTCGTCCATCTCTTCTTCTCTGGAATGTTAGTACTCTGGCGATATCTGCCTGGTTTTCCTGCATACCCTCTTCGTGCTCTCAATCAGTATCTCCAGTGAGTGCCGCCCAATTGGTATCAAAAACTAACAAAAACACCTGCATTCAGAAATTTCCCTGGAGTTTTGATATCATCACGTCCAGCCTTTCCTAAATCCCCTCCTCCACCCAAGCAACACCTAGTTCTTGTGTTAGTAAATACTGCATAGATGCGGACGTGAATGGGCATTAGATCAGATTCTTCAATCTAGACCTAAACTTCTCTACTTTATCTCCTAACTGCAACTCAATCCTATTTATCTCCATTTGGTGCAGGATACCAGCTTCTGTCTTGTTGCCATGAGCAACTACTGATGCCTGTTTCCCACATTCCCTCAGGGAATCACAATCAAGTTATTCATCTTTCCTTTCCGACTTATTACTAGTGTGTATGAGTATGGGTAAGCAGGTGCCACAGCATTTGTGTGTAGATCAGAGATCAGCTTTCAGGATTATGGTTCTCTCTTTCTCCCATGAATTTTGAAGCTCAAACTCGGATTATCAAGTGTGTGTAGCAAGTGCTTTTTACCCATTTAGCCACCTCTTCAGCCTCAAGTCCTCTTTTTTTTGTAGTAAATTAAAAAAAAAAAAGAATGTTGGGTTATATAATGTTTATTAGTAGCCCTAAAACTATCATGGTGGTATTATCTAACCTGCTATCACAAATCATAAAACACAGACACCTGCTAGATCTTATAATTGCCTTATTTACCTTAGGCTAGGCAGATAGTTCATCTAAGCTGCCTCAATATCCTTACCATCCATCTCCCAGCCCCCATCCAATGCTGTCCACCTTAATCAGCCTCATCTTTTCTACCTTCCACACATAATCGCAATATACTTGCTTGTATTTTTCATATTGGTGTTTTTTCCATCCATGCCATTCTTGGAGTCCTTCCTCCAGGCTCACGTTGTTCCTTCTCCATATTAACCCATGAGGGTGTCCTCCTCTCTCCTCTCTTCCCGTCCATCCGTTTCCCGTGAGGAACCCCATTTTGCCCTGCCTAGGTATAGGTCATTTAATCAGCCAATAAGGTAGGTTTATATAACAAGGATAGGTATACCCAGATCTTGAGGCCAGTAACATGCATCAGACCAACCTCTGACATCTTTTATTTTTATTTTATTTGTTTTATGTTTATCACAATTGTGTGTGTATGTATGTGATAGATGAATGTGACATGTGGCCATAGTATGTGTGCGTATGGGAGAGGACAACTTGGCTGAGTCAGTTCTCTTCTTGCACCTTGACATGGGCTCTGGGGCTGGAACTCAAGTTACCAGGAATATGGCAGGAGCCTTTGTATGTGGATCCATCTCATGGGCCTCCTAAGAGCACTTACCAGTGCTGAAAGAATGGCCTGTATCCTAGAAAATAACAACTGAAGAGAAAGTAACGGAAACACCCATGGGAGTTGATAGTGTGAGGTTCAGGGAATAGAGGTATGCTAGTGTTGATTTCTTGGTTTTGCTTGGCATGCCCTGATTTCACAGGACAGTAACATTATGGGAAAATGGTTCATGGCTATTCAAAATGTCTCTAGCATCTTGGCTACTGTTCTGTAGATATAAGACAGGTAGACAACTTAGAGTTTCTTTGAAAAAAATGAGTGAACCCCCCACTCCTTACCTAAGCTGAAAACTTTAGCATGACCAGCCAGACTAAACTCATTTAGTTCTTTTCATGAGATAAGCCCTTCCCTTGCCTCTAGGTCTTCAGAGTAAGCAAAGCTTGATACATGATTGATGGAAGCTAATAAATGTTATATTTTAAAAACTAAAGGCAGCTGGGTGGGGTGGCGCACACCTGTAATCCCAGAATTTAGCAGGCAGAGGCTGGTGGATCTCTACAAGTTCAAGGTCAGCCTGGTATACAAAGTGAGTCCAGGACAGCTAAGGCTACGCAGAGAAATCCTGTCTCAAAAACAAACAAACAAACAAACAAAAACCTAAAGGATATCTCTAAATTGGGTGTTGACAGCGGTGGGGAATGTATAAGCCACCCACATTGGGCCTGCATTTGTGGATAGCCCAAACAGCCTTCAGCTGATGCTGTTTCTTTCTGACACTCTCCCCAGCCCTGCCTCAGCTTCATTGTCCTTTTCCTCTGTTACCTACCTTAACTTATGCACCAGACCCAACCCCCAGTCAAGACCAGAGCTTCTGAAAATCCATTTCCAGAGAAGGGAGAAAGACAGTACCCCCCCCCCCCTTCCACAAATAGTGTGTGGAAAATTTCAAAACCGCTCATTCGTTATGCTTGGTGTTATCCCACTGGAAGAATGCGGAGCCATGTAAGAGGAGCCATATCAGGCTGCCAGATGGTTTGGGTGACAGGCCTGGTGAGCAGGCTACAGATTAAAGCAAGGCCGAGGGGATCAATTGCTAGTATCACCTTTGAGAAAGATTTGAGCGAATCTCCTTACAGCACATGATTGAGCCATGTCCCGACATCCCCGAATATTGCCGACACTTCAACTTAATCCAGAACAAATTCTTTTCTCCTCATGTTTCTTTCCTCCCTACTGCCATATGATGACCTTCCTCCCCTCAAGCCACTCCTAAAATGATAATGAGAAAAATCCATGACTGGCACTTTAGGACACAGTCCTCACCAATGTCAGAGTCTGAATGTTACTGCCACATTTCCCGAGACAAACTCAATGGTCAGCCTCCCTCATCTGCATCCCACCTCCTGGTCCTGCCAATCAGATCTGGCAACCAGCTACTCAGTGTAGAATCATCTTGGGGCTTTCTGACTCCAAAATCCCTGCCCTTTGTTCAAGTCCTAGCATCATTTCCCCAAAGGTCTTTACTGTTACATAGGGGTAGGGGGGCCCCAGGTGCATTTGGCCTTTCAGAAGCAAAAAAGTCTTTACCTCCCAGTGGGCTGCCTCCCAGTATATGGTGGAACAGGTTGCCTAGGTAATGTGGGGATGCTTTGGGGGTCACCCAGGTGAACTGTGAGTGCTTTGGAGTGGCTCAGGTGAAATGGGGACTCTTCTCATCTTGTAGTTTGGAAAGATAGAATCCACTGTCAAATGTATCTGAAAACAAGGTTTTGAAGTGACTCATCCTCTTCCCCAAATACCACTCCCTTAACACACTCCAAAATGGTGGACAGGAGCATTTAATACATGGAATGTTTTTTTTTTCCATTACACTGTCATAAATTACAAAGTATTGCTCACTTCACAAAATAAAACCATTTCCAGATTATTATTGACAGTATCAAGAAGTACAGAAGCCGCAACAAACAAATCTGTACAGTTGGGAGGAACGCTGACAGCAGAGAGCAGGCCAAACGGAGCCCCAGATGCCACGGGTCTGCCTGCAGTCTCTACCACCTTGACATGGCAATTCTCTTCTGGGCGCTCCAAGCAAGACTTGTCAGTGCATGGGTCATCTCAGACAACCAAGGGAGAGACACTGCAACTGGCTTTAAAAATCTAGACTTACAGTTTTTTGCTGTTTTAAATATTTTGACTATGTTACAAAATATAGAGATCTTGGTGTGAAAAACTCATGCTAAGATAAATATAACCAACAGGATGGGTCTCTAGCGATAAAATCATGTTAAATTATCTTCCATACAGAACAACTTTTATGAGTGAAAAACATTTGGTTAAAAAAAAAAACCCAACCTTATTTATTCATAAATTAATAATCGGTTTATAAAACAAAAGTAAGGAACAAGATTCGACAATGATCCTGTAGGTTCATGATTCAACAATATGGAAATGTTCTCCATTGACATCAATTTGAAGAACCTGGCTGAGAAGAGGAAGAGTGTGAATTTCCTGTCCTGGCTCAGGGGCATCCAGTGTCCTCAAGCCATTTTACGTAGCTGGACATACTCTGCGTGTTCTAGGACACACATGGGAGATACGGAAAGGCCACGACCATAACATTTTTTTGGGAAGTCATGAAATGCTAACAGAAAGGAAACTTGTGGGTGCTTCAGATCATCCCAGGATCACTATGAACATACACTACACCTCACAGCAGAAAGCCAGAGCTGAGAAGCAGGAACTGTGAAGAGCAGGGGTGTGGGGGAGTGGCGGACTTGCATCAAAGCACTAGTCAGGACAGAGGTATGTCAAGGTGATACTGCCTTCACGGTCAACATTTACCAGGCACGACTGCAAGGAGGGGAGACAAGGTACAGGGCAGTAACCAATGCACTGCATTGAATTCTATTTGCTAAAATAAAATAACATTCTTGCAGCTAAAATAAAATACATTTTACAATATAGGTTTCATTTAACATTTAACATATAGAATTGTCCTTTTTTGAAGGTGGAAAACGCATACTGTACCAAGTACCTTTATGAATTAAGTTCCCTTTTATTACTGATAAGATTGAAGCTTAAAAGTCTACATTTTTTTAATAAGTTAAAGAAAGATTTATTAATCACTCTTTCAGCAAAACAGACATACATACGAGGCACGGCGAAAGACCCAAGGTAAGGGGTTTCCTACCCTCACCCTTGCTCTCACGTGGAGGAGGGAGACACAGTCCCCAACTCTTCAATCCACTGTGGTTCTGCCACTTGTTTGGAAAACAAATCAAGTGTAAGAAACGTTTTTATTCTGTTAGCTCTATCAGCCCATTTTCTTGATGGATTAGAACAAAACGTCTTCGTTTTCTATTAAAATCTGCACGATCAGCTTTTGGTACCGCATGTCATGGAGGGTCGTGAGGGTGCTGTCCTCAGGGGGTCTCATCAGAGTGGGCCCAAACACGATCCCCAGGTTTTCTGCATTCATTAAATTGTCCTTTTCATTCATGGTAACCCTGCAAGGAAAGCACAGAGACCTCATAGATTTGCCGAAGGACTGACATTTTAGCTATACGTATATGTCAAACCCGAGATCATCTTCTGGGGCAGGAGCCTGCAAAAGCAAAGGGACAATAAGAATGGCAGGTAGACATGTTTTAACTGGTAATTTTCTGATCTGTTTTCCTTATTAAGTCATTGATACTGCCTTCATCCAATAGGACTAAGGGACTTACTCAAATCTACTGTAAACATTGTTTAAGCACTGGGAATCTGCCTTTCATAAAGAAACATCCAACTCTTAGTTAGGGAGATATCAGTTTGAAGGGGCAGGAGGTCACTAGCTAACCCATGGTACCCTCATGGGCCTCATATGGAAGTCTGGTTTTTGTCACCATTTCCTACTTGTCTGCATGCTGGAGAGGGGGCTGAGCACAGGCAGGCTTGGTACCACAAGAGAAAGACTGTTTGTAGAACAGGTGGCTATGTGTTTAGGAAAACCCTGGTTATTGTCACAGGGCAGGAGAATGGCTGGAACGGGGCCAGACTGGAGGTTCATTGTTTCTTATGCCTAGTTTCCAAAGGATGAGATACAGAGCAGTCATTATTGCCAGACCAGCATCTAGAGAAAAACCAAAGAGGCTTTAAGGAGGAAATCTAAGTACTAAAGTCGCTTCACTGGTTTCCTTGTGGAATGAATGATGATTTTCCAGGTTCTTCCCTTCAGAAATTTAGTCTTTTAGAATGCTCATCAGAGTTAAAAAGGAGTAAGTTCTACAAAGAAGAATAAACTGTGTTAAAATGTGTTTGGGCTTTGGAGAGACACTATCCCTTGCCCTCTGTTCCCTTGGAGCAGATTCAAATTAGCCACTTAATGTTAAGTTTGGTCAACTCAGTTTGAATCATTTTCATGCTGCACAGCTAAAAAGGAATCAGGAAAAAAGTCATTCTTCACATCTCAGTTTAGAACAGGCTTCATCAGATTGGCCTATGAGGCATTTTTTTTTTATTGACATTGGAGGGCCCCTCCCACTGTGGGCTTTAGCATCCTGAGCCTGTGGTCCTGGGTTATATAGTAAATAGCCTGAGGAAACCATGTAGAACAAACTAATAAACAGAATTCCTTTATTGCCTCTGCTTCAGCTCCTGCCTCCAGGTTCCTGCCTTGAGTTCCTGCCCTGACTTCTCTCAATCATGGACTATGGCATAGAAATGTAAGCAAAATAAAACCTATCCCCCCCCCCCCCAGGGGTTTTGGTCATGGCCTTTACCTCAGCCATAGGAACCAAACTAGGACAGAAGTGAGAACCTGAGATTGCAGTGTTGTCATGATAGTCCCAACCATGTTGTTTTTCTGAGGTTTGTGGAGTGCTTGGAATTTTGGGCTGGAAAAGCCATTAGTGGTCAAAGCTTAATGGGGTGTTCTGTGTGATCTTGGAAGACAAGAATGCTGAGAGCAATGCAAATGACGGAGGCCTGGCTTGTGATGTTTCAGAAGGAAGCAAAGACTGTCTCAGGCTGAGGTGAAGAATCAGCTGTGATTAAGAAGGGGCCAGCACTACTGAAGTGAAACCTTTGCTTTTTGGAACAATTGATACTGATCAGTTGAGGCTGAAGAATCAGCTATGATTAAGAAAATAGCATAATTGAGGTGTACTTCTGAGGGGTATTTCCCCAGGCTCAGCATACAGAAGCTGTGGTCCAGAGGGAGCCAAGGCTATATCTCCTGCTGACAGCCATAACTGGCAATGGAAAAGTTGTTAGCCTTCCTTCCTCTCTGGAATAGACAGAGGCCCCTGTCTATTCCAGGGAATAGCACTGCCTTTCGTGGGCATCTCCAATCACAGGTTCTAGAATCCATACACACAGCTCTAATCCAAGAGCTACTCTGTGTACTTCCCATGCGGTATCTTAATGCCTTCCTGCCCTGGGCAGATGAGGGGTGTCAGGGATGGAGGTGTTGGCTTACTTTTTGAGATGGATCATCAGGTAGCGCAGGGTCTCATAGTGTGCAGGAGGCAGCAGCATCAGGACCTCATGGACAGCTTCCAGCCTCTCATCCGCATTGGAGATTTCTACAAAGAGCACACAATCAGCAATCTGTACACCAACCACCCAGAGGGCTTCTGAGAGGTCTGTCTTCCTTGTCTTTGTTGCAAATGGGGCATCTAACAAATTTGGAAAATCTCAGATACTCTTTCACTCAGTTGTGTCCTGTCTCATTTCAGAAAGAGCTGAGGTTGACAACTGAATATGTAAATGACCACCTGTGGAGCAGGTGGCTGCTGTACTTACCACCCAGGTAGCAAGGGTCCTGTGGAATTCCTAACTCTGGTATTATATGCACTCTGTGGTGCCCTTCCTGAGACCCTGCTTCGTTGAAGTATCAAAGCTCTGATTGCCTTTGTATCATGTGGCAGGATGCCCTGGAAGCTGTCTCATGACTCTTTCCTTCTGAGACCTCCATATCAAATACATTTTTCAGTGCAAGGACATTAGCAGGTAGGCCAGACAACAATGCCATCAATGAAGGCACTTTGACAAAGGCATTGCAAGGGTTAACCTCATGTGCAGCCCAGGTTAGGAAGCAGATACTAGGAACATTAACAATGGAAGGAAGAGTGTGTGGACACTGGGCCACTGATAGGTGTTGGCAGGAAGTCAGGGAAAGCCCTCCTGCCATCCCTCCTGGGAGAGTAGCGTCCAGCTGCTAGAATCTCCTCTACCTAGGATCAACAGAACCCAGGAAGGGGTGGTCTTGTTAGCAAGAAAGACCACAGCTCATCTGGAAAATACACTGTACATGGATGTGAGCAAGACCTTGCTTCCTCCTGTCCGACATCTTATACATTATGCCGAAACCTTTAAGGATACATAATATCCCAAGGAGCCAAAAGAAGTTCCTGCAAGAAGGCCTGGCTTCTCTCCGCTGCACCTCAGCATCTGAGTTCCTCCCGCTTCGTCACTGCTTGTGACAAAGTGTGGCCCCTTCTCTTGACATACCTTGACTCGTCCTCTCCCAAGAGCAGCGGGCCCAGTTGGCCAACACTGGCTAAGGATGAGGTCTTCTGCTGATGGAAGCCAAATGCTGACGGTTCCCTCATGGGCATGTCAGGTCAGTTCTCCATGCTAGCTTTCTACCCTCTAACATCAGTTTTTAATCTTTACTTCACGGGATAGATTAAGAAGATTTAACTAGAAGATGTTAACAAGTGGTCCCAGCATAGAGCATGTGACACAGCAAATACTGTGTGCTCTTGGCTAGCTATCATTTTAATACACGTCTATCTTTTTAACACAAGATCTGACTACATAACCCAGAGTGGCCTTGATCTCTAGATCCTCCCAACTCTGCCTCCTTAAACACTAGGATTATGCAGTGCTCTACAGCTGGCTGCTTCTATTAACCGTGAAGGGCATAAGCAGGAAAAGCTTGGATGTGGTTTCAGTTGATCCACAATGCGACATTGCACAATGGATAGCAACGGTTTACATGTCTGTCTTTGGTAAACACTGATTTTTTTTAATTACTATTACAAAAGTTTTTCTGATATTTTCAGCAAATATCAGAACTGATCTGCCTGTGCTAGTGTCCAGGACACAGGGAGACCCGATGAGGGACAGAGCTGCCTGATTCTCAGCTTCTGCCTGCAGAGCTGGGTGAGTATGGACTCGGAGCACCTGGTATCTGAGTGCTACCTGGGTTTCTATTTGCTAAACTTCTGTGCCCCCATCTTGACAAAGCCAACACTCATGAAAATCTTGAAGGAGTTCTGAGCTTTAATTTTCCTGAGATTAAGAGTAGTCCTCTGTACTTACTCGCTGCCTCTATAAATTTGGAATAGGTGTCATATGTGATGACGGGAATGGGTAGGTCTCTGAAGTACAGTTTCAGGGCTCCAGTGATGATGTTTATGTCTGGGTAGATGTTAGCAGAGATATCCGCCTTTTCACCATCTGAAAAACAGTTAATGGTCCAAGTCTCAATGAGATCTTATCTCACCAAGTTAAAGAAGGCACAGGGAAAGGGAGACCAGCATAGGCTGTGTTCTGGCAAGCCTCGGGGTCTCTCTCTCAGCCTCTAACTCTGTTAAGAAACTTGTGGCAACGGAAGGAAGCTCCGTGAGAGAGGTACAGGTGACAGAGAGAGTTCAGACAAGAGTGCAGCAGGGCGGAGGGGAAGCACCTCTCTGAGTCTCCGCCCTGCTAACCGCCCAACAGAAACTTATCACAGTAATTTCTATTGCAGATACAATGCTTCACAACGGGGCAACAACCTGATACGAAATGACACACGATGATACACATGCACGATGTCATAATAAAACTAGTTATTTTGTGGCTGTACAACTTTTAAAACTCTCTGTGCTGTCTTTGCCTGTGTTCTTTGGCCCTGGACTAGAACGTCATATACATAACTAATCTTCCCAGAACTTTGAAGTATTATACATACACATGTATGTATATTATTTAAATTACATTTATTTTTTTAGGGAGGCTGGCTGTGCCATGGCAGAGGGAAACTTGTAGGAGTTGGTTGTCTCTCCATTATGTGGGCTTAGAGGTTGGCACATTAGTTGTAAGGTTTGGTGGTAAACACTCACTCACTGAGCCAATTTTTTTTTAACTTTAAAGTTTAAAATTAAAGTCATTTAAAATCATTTTTTAACTTTAAAATTTTACCATTGGTATTAATCCATTTCACCTAACACAGATCATGAGATTATTGTGGATAAATGCTGTTCAATCATCTGGAGATTACTAATATATTTTATGTGGTTAATGTAAAAGCATATATGCCTTAGCAAATTTGGTTCCAAGTTTGTAAAAGAAGCTATGAAATAGCTAAAAGCACAAACCAAGATAGCAAATGCATAGTGGACAAGACAGACTATTGAACAACATGATCTTTCACACACTCTTCCTCATGAGGTGACCTGCCCACAGTCTAAGCAAACGGTTCTCCCAGAGAATTCCGAGTCATGGTGCTTCTGGTTTCCGAAGAATGACTCTCAGTAATTCCCGGACCCCACTTCCACTCTAAGTAAGCTCCTGCTCCAGCACAGAGGGCACCTGGAGCAGCCATGTTGCACTAGAAACAGTTCACACTCACCTCTGTCAAATGCCATCTTGACATCTTCAATGTGTTCTGTGAACCCGGAGACTCTGTAGAGGCCTTCTGACTTTAATCCTGCAGGGCAGCAAGGGGAGACTTTAGCTTTGATTTTCCCCACGGCATCTCATAAAGCCATTTTAATTTTATACCTGCACTGAGCGCCGCTAGGAACTGAGCAGATCTGGTTAGTGATCTGATGGCTGCCACCTGTCCTGCTGTCCAAGAACCTGGGCTTTTCCTACCAATCTCCACAGGAGACTCTCTTCATCTGTGTGTTGGAGACGGGCATCTTAGCAAAGATCGGGTCTTCTTCCTGCCTGGTGGCAGAGTAAGCTAAGGTATGAGAGTCTCCCTAACTACCTCTGTTTCTCAGACTGCTGCACACCTCTTTCAACCGTGCAGGCAGGACTTGGCTTTCTCCCTGCTTACCCTGGCTCTTTAGAGACATTTAAACGTTATAGCCTTTCATGTTTAATCATAAATACGACAATATGCTAACTTACTAAGTGTGTATGACTTATTCTGCCTTCCGATAGCTAATCATATAAACAGACATGGTAAAGTTAAATTATATTGAATGGTCTGAAAACATAGTCAACTGTAAGAAAGAGAATATGTTTCTGCCTGTTTGAGTATAATGATGTTTTGGACACACACTAAAACCTAGCTTCTTCTCCTATAGCCAGTGGGTATCACATAAGATGAAAATAGCAGGATTAGAGGATCAAGTTTCATATTCCATATGCCAAAACTGAACTGGTGTCAAAACTGTACTATAGCAAAGAATAAAGAGTATACTCTGTCAAACTCTTGATAACTAACGTGCTTTTCTGGTTCTCATTTTTCACTTTTAGGGCATAAGCAACATCTGCCACATTCCAGAGTCTGTACTGAACACAAGGGATGGGTGTGTCTACTCTTCCTGGGGCCATGGCAGCCATGCTCAATCTTATGAGGCTCTCGTATGGCAGGCATGCTTAATTAACCTCGTCTCTGTTTCATTACCTACTGCTGAAATTGCCGCTCTTGATGACCTAGAAGTGATCCATAGGCTAAACCCTGGGTAGCACTCTGTTCGAGGCGGTACATGCAAGCTCATCTCAGCACCAGACATTGAGGTCGGCTGACAAGAGTACTCAGTGGGCATACAGCCCATCATCTTATACAGTACCTCTGGGGGGACCCTTCCCCCAACCCCGGAAGCTGATCACTGAAGGCAGCTGGAGTTTGTAGAGCCCCAGAGGCTGCCAAGGCACCCTCTAGTACTTGTTTTTCTATTCCTCTACTCTAACGGAACATTTGATGTCGAAACAACATCCACTGCGGTGGCCCTTCACTTCACCGTGTTTGGTGTGTTTGTTTTGCGGACTGCAGACACGATGTGACCAGCCACCCACAATCCTCCTGCCATGCTTTTCTAGGATGAACTATACTCTCAAACTGTGAGCCAAAAGAAATGCTTCCTTCCTCCACTTGCTGTTGTCTGGTACTTGGCTACAGCGATGAGAAACGTAACTAATCTAGTTGGTCATGCAAATAAAGTGGAAAGAAATAGCACAAGTCATGTAGGCTGGGCATGTGCCAGGTCCCTCATGTGCATAGGCCTGCCTGTGTTCATCCTCAGCACCATCTTCTGGGGCTCACCTGATTTCACTCATTTTACAGAGGAGGAAACATTTTTTTTTTTAAAGGGAACATACCCCATGTTTAAAGCACTCAAACAAGACAAAGACACCTTTCTCTGGGACCTGTGGTGTTTTGGGTACAACCATGTCTTTATTTGTCCCCCTGATTCTCCTCTCCGATCTATAGTGTGGATTCTTGAGGTTGAGAATGGAGACTTTTGTATCATCAATATCTAGCCTGTAGTAAATCCTCCCCAAATATTTGGAGAATGTGGAGACTCCTGGCTTATATAGGAATATATAGGACTCCTGGCTTATATAGGAATGGAAATTGATATTATTGGTTGGCTATGGTATATTTATCTGTATGGATGTACAAGGCAGTGTCCTAACAGGGTTAGTAAAGTGAGTCAGTTTCCTCAACAAAATAAAAAAAACAAGTCAACATAATATAATATAATATATAATATAATATAATATAATATAATATAATATAATATAATATAATATAATATAATATAATATAATATAATATAATATAATATAATATCATAAATATAATGGTAGAGATTATTTTCCAAACCTCTTGCTTCAATTTCCCGAATACATATGTCTACCACCATGGGTCTCTGAGTGTTGTGAGCTTTTACAAGCGTGGTGAGGTCACAGCAATACACTTTCTTGATCCTCTTGAGATCAGGTTGGCAATCGTTGGGGACATGCTTGGAACACTGTTTGTGAACGTTTAACCCACAATCTGTGAACAAAGAAGCCACGTTAGCCTTGCTCGGTCTCTTTGTCAAATTCCAAGACAAACCACGTGCTGCCAGAATACATACTACAGCACCCAAGGGTTCAATGGGCTTTCCTGGAATGTCCACCCTGTCAAGAGATCGCACTTTCCACCAGATGAGCATGAGATTCGCCGTGACTCTTTGAAGCCTTATATGACTGCACTATCCTTGTGACTCTATCTTCTAGACAAGAAGAACTAAATACCCTGCCGAGACAGTCAGATCACTAGCCTGGTTGCTAGCAGGCTTTCCACAGTGAGATCTGGGACCCAGGTTTGCAGAGTTAGTCATGGCTCATTAAGAGCACCGAGGCTCCTTTTAGGCTGTGCCGTTAGGTCTTTGATATTCTTTTGTGGGACAGAGTCACTGTGTCTGCAGGTTGTCTGATCTTTGATTTGAAGAGTTCCTGACTTGTATTTGTTCTGCCTTTCCTGGAGAGCGGCCTGTAGTTTCTAACCCCTCTCTTCTTGCTGGCAGTTGGAGGGGGCCTTTCCTCTTCCGCCTGCTGTACTGGGACATAGTGGAAGTGACGTTTAACTGTGCTCTGGCGGGAGTATCCAAGAGCTGATATTTGACGACAACGCCTTGTAATGTGATGATTACAGTAATTATTTATAAAGCATATATCCAGAGCCAAAGCTGAAAAGGTGCTTTTAAGTTCAATGCACAAATTAAAAGGCTTGTTAGCAGTTGGCATCCACCAACGAACTTTCTGGACAATTACGGGACCCAGTTTGCATTCTGGAAGATGAAAGTTTAATGCCAAGGTTGCTGAATGTGAATGTGCTATGCACTTAAGAGTGTCTTCGAATATTGCTTTTCCTAGGTGTAAAAAAAAAATTTTCCGTACATTATAATACATGCACAATAATGAATATCGGGGCCAGCTGCTTTACACAGAGTCAGCCACTGCACAGGTCTGAGGGCAGCAGACCTCTATGCAGCCAGCAGTGGAGATTTCCAGGTAGTGTCTCCTGGCTGAGTTCTGTGCTCTTCCTTTCAAAGGAAAAGTTCTAACAGACTTAGCTTAATCAGCGTATGGAATTTAACTAGATCCAAGTACAGTTCAGTTTCCTTTTGGTGGAGCTACTTAGCAGATGTAAATTTGGACTTGGTTAAGCAGAACTTGGTTTTCTTCCTGGAGTCCTGGTTTATCACACTAGTACCAGCTGATCATGAAGATCAAATAGATATACAGTGTCTCTAGGCTAGTACTAAGTACAGCAGACAAAGGGATAGGAGACACGGAGGCCTGCCCGGTTGTTCTCACATTAGTGAATTTTACTGCATCTCATAAACTTATGTTTTTTTTTGTTGTTGTTGTTGTTAAATTATAGCAAAATATACATAGGGTATAGTTACTGTCTTAACTATTAAATTTTTATTTATTTGTTTGTTTCTTAATTGGAAACAGGGTTTCATTGTGTATCCCTGGCTGGTCTGGAACTCACAATGCTTTTGCATTTGAAAGTAAGGAGTTCAGTGCCATTAAAAACATTGTTGCTTATCTATAGCCACCACCCGCCTCGAAAGCTTGTTTGTTCCTGCAAAACTACAACCTGATGCCCACTAAATAGTAAACATATACCCACACATACGCACGCACCAGCCCCCAGGAGACCTTTCTGGAAGTGAATTTGCTGGTTTTAGGTACTTTATAGGAGCAGATTTATGCCAGATTTGTAATTTTGTGAATGAATTATTATACTGATCATCTGGTCCTTCTACGCTCATCCATGTTGTGGCGTACATCAGGATTCACTCAGGCACCCTGGACTCACTCACCGACTCTCTGGCAGTGACAGCCAATGTGTCCTACCTAGATTCTAACAGCTGTATTCCTTTGCGCTTTGCTTGGGCTTCCTGCCTTTTATAAGACAGGTCAACGTTCCAGTGCGTGTCTATGCCGCATTACCTGTTCATTCATGAGCTTGAGTTCCACCTACATCAACCAGGAAGAATAACGCTGTCATGAGCTTGGGCCTGTAGGTGTCTGATGCAAATGCTGTCTTTAAACTTTAGGGTTACATAGCAACTCTAGGTTTAATTTTCTTACACACTTAAAGACCCCACTATATTAGGATGCTTTATAGCAGATATAAAAATGCTAAATTTTGTAAACTAATAGAACTCCATTTGCCAAATAAAATCTAGACTGTAAAAAAAAAATTCTGTCTACATCATGGAGAACTGAGGGCTGTTGTGGCACCCTTGACTATCAATGGCTAGTTTTCAGTCTTCCTGTTCTTCAGGGGAAATATTAAATAAAAAAGAAACAATATAACCTTACACTATGGTTCATTTAAAACAAAACAGAAACAGAAACAAACAAACAAACAAACAAAAATCTCCGAACCCTCCCATCCTAGAAAAAGTTGCTGATTACAGCTAACTGGAGCCCAGAGCTTTGTTTCCATAATATTGACTTTGGACCAATTTCCTGCTGAAACTGGATAATATCTGACAAGGGATATTTTGGGTAGGTATAATCTAGACAGACCAAACTAACAGCCACAGAATAATTCAGGTGGCTGAGCCCCACACTCAGGGGCTGAGCTATCAGATACTGGTAAAGCCTTACAGGTCTGTGTTAGAACATCCTGAGGAGGCAGTTTCTGCACTGGGTTTCTATTGGAACCCAGGATGGAAAACGGGAATCACTCACACACCAGTTAGCAATGAATGGGTGTAGCTATGCTGATAGAACGGGAGCTAAGAAATCACCTTCCAGACAGAAAGGAAGACGAAGGATATGTGATCCCATAAACTAAATGGGCAGTATGGGAGGGAGGAACCTTTCAGTGGGAGTCATTAGATGGTTCTATTCGTCGTGTCCTAGAAAGAAGGCAAGCAGCCACAGAGTCTGTGGCATCCCAGCCAACACCAGCGGCAGCTGTTTCTGCTCTCAGCACCAGTGTGTGCCAGGAAAAGCATGGCAGGGCTAGTAAGGAAGCCCGGCTAACAAGTTGATTTGGCAACCCTTTGCGTTTTGTTCAGTGTATCTTAAAAACGATGGGTCTCGTGACATTTGTAGTTAGGATAGGTATCCAACTCAAGATGGCAAACACCCTGGGGTTCAAACTACTTTGAAGTGTATGAAATCAAATGAATATGATCAAAATATTTTGTATAAAACTTTCAAAGAATGAAGAAAAATATTATTAACAAAAGGAAGGGAAGTGATTTCACTATTGAAATAATGGCAAAGTACTGAGTGAGTTCTGGACTCCTACTGCTTCTAAATTAATGTTTCACCATTTGCTATCTGTCAATTAGCCATCACCTAAGGCTCTGTTCTCCTTTTCATTTAATAGGAGTAACCGTATCTTCCTTTGGCTCTGCCGGTGAGGCGGCATGGCATGATGAAGAGTGTTTGGCCTCATGTTTGTGGCTAATGTCCACCAGTGTTCTCTTTCTATGTCCTGCCTTCTATAGTAAATTGGGGTGGGGAAGAGTGTGGCATTTTTGAAATCTATGCAATTCCATTAAAATCTACTTAAACCCTTTTTCTCTTAAGAGCAAGTGGCCATTCGGAGAGGCAGGTGCATTTTTAAAAAGGCATATTTATTTGTTTGGTGATTTTTCATCATTGTATGGACATAAGATCTGTTTCTGTCTAGCAAACAGAACGGTGCCCCCAACAAGCAGAGAGCCAGACTTCTGAGTTCATCTATCCCTGAAGGATGATCACCACTCAGCAGGTGGCACTTTACACAGAAGAAGAGAAGGCAGTTTTGTGTCTACCTGAACACCGGACTCCTTGGGCGATGAGCCCCCACATGAAATTGGCACAGTATTCACACCAATGTGGGCCCCGGAACGTGTGGACCTATGAGCCGAACAGAGAGCACAGAAGCGTCAATCACAGGGAGGCATCAAACATGGACCAAACAGGAGCCTCGGCAGCAGTGAGCCGTCCATGGGCCTCTTCCATCCGGTGTGGCAGAGTTGCAAACTGGTCTGGAAGGAACAGAGACAGGCTTTGATCTTTGAAATTCTCCATATTCACCATGTCCTGGCCAGAGCAGAATGTAGAGGAACAGTGAGGTTACAGAGATATACACTCAGGTGTTGAATGAGACTTACACCCCACACAAGGCTGTGGGAGTGCAAACCCAAGATAGCCTAAGCTGGCTGCTAGGTCGCTCCATCCTGCATTTAGCTCAGCAAGTTGTTTTGGGCAGAAGAACTCAATTACTGTGTACTCCCGACTCAAGCTGTTCCATCTAGGTGTAGAATTTCCAGCCAGACATAAATAATCCATGGTTATGGGATAATTAAAGGGTTCCAAGGCTTTGAGCCACTTCCAGAAAAACTCATTTTAAAAAAAGTAAAGAAGTTGGCTAAAAATGCAGGCTTATGGGCCCCATGAAGTAGCTTTTCCTAGGAACAGGTGCTATATCCCACCAGCCTGGCAATGGCTTTCAGGTTTAGTAAATTAGAAGGTTTCTCCTGGCTGGCTGGAGTGCTGGTCTTATTGGTCAATGTCTCAGCCAGCTGTTAAATATTTTAAATGCTACAAAGTATGCAGGACAGCTGAGTTATAATTGCCTTTCGGGTATTTTAGCTCATCCAGTTGCCCAGTAAATTGTTTCTGTTTTGGAAAATGGTGGGGAAGTGTGGCTATGGCCATATCATCCTGAACATGCCCGACCTCATCTGATCTTGGAAGCTAAATGAAGAAGTGCTCTGTTTGGGTATGATCCTAACCCATGACAAAGCACTCCTTGTAGGAATGAGGAGAATCCAAGAGGCCCTTGCATTTTCAGAGGCCCAAATGCCACGATTCATTTTTAGGCCCACTGAAACAGAAATGCGGACTAAAAGAGCTCTTGAGGAAAATGAGCTACCAAGAGCTGAATCCAACAACCATTAATGCTTTACTAGAAAAGTGCTAAAGGTGCCAGTTAATTTTAGCAGTAAAGTTGATTATTAATATACTACTGAAATTGCACCGTAAGGCAAATAATGTATAAGAAAGAAGAAAAGTGAAAGAGACTACAGAAGAAAGGTGGAGCCAGAATGGGAGGTCGGGGAAGAGTAGTCCTGGAAGGTAGCTCAGAGATGAAGAATAGCTGGTTGTCTAGAGGGAGGGCAGGGAACAGTCTGAGTAGAAGGAATTATAGAGACTTCGTAGGAATAAAAGAGCTTGGTGTTGCCTAGGCTACTCAAGACTGATTGGCTAGAATGGAGAGGAATGGGAGATGATGGGGAAGACAGGAAAAGGAAAGCCATAGGGATGCCTCAGACTTTCTTTGTGATACAGATTTGGATTAGGCTCAACAAGGCATTCCTGGAGGATTATTCTGAACCAGTGTTGAACGTGGGTGAGAGAGTAGTTGAGGGATGATACAGGCTAAAAGCAGGATGCTGACAGGAGAAGCCTTAGGGGCCTCCTGCATTAAGGTATACTTTGAAGACAAAATTTATACAACCTGACAGTAGAATGCACTGGGTCTTAGAGAGACAGAGACAGATACATACACACACACACACACACACACACACACACAACACACACACACATGTGTGTGTGTGTTATGAATGATCCCTGGTTTCCCTCTTAGGAACATGTGTGTGTGTGTTATGAATGATCCCTGGTTTCCCTCTTAGGAACCAGGTGGATGGTGATAACCTTGAAGATACTCTCATGAGGAGAAGTTTAGAGATCAGCTTAGAGCAGGCTAAAAGTAATGCTCTGATGCCAAAGTGTTAGTTCAAGCAGGAAGTCACATGAACTTGGTGGCTTAGAGGAGTGGGGGTTGTATGTATGCATGTGGCCATCCTTGAAGAAATAGATGGGGTGTTTTAAATTGGGAAAACAGGCTAAAAAAGTGTCAGGGATAGAGCGCAGAAAGCAAAAAGAGAGAGCGCATGTCTGGGCCTCCATTCTCCACGACTTAAGACTAAGAGAGCAAAGCATTTCTGAAGCCAGCAGGTGAAGACTTTTGGGGAAGAGGTGAGTCACCATGTTGAATGCTGGTAAGATGACCTATTGGGGTGTCGACTTAGGCACAGGGAAGTCATTGGAGATCTTGTCAGGAACAGGCTCTTTGGAGACTGAACCCAGATTTAAGGATTCAATCTGAACTGAAGAACAAATGGAAAATAAGGAACTAGAGAAAAACGTAGGAAAATACTTGAAGGTGCTTGGCTAGCCAGGCCTGGTGGCTCATAGGGGCTGACAAAGAAGAACTGAAAGTTTAAGGCTTATCTGGGCAACAGCAAGGCCATATCTAAAAAGCAAAAAGAACTCCCCCCTACATCCAGTTCTGTCCATATGTGCATGGGACAGGGCCATCCATGGAGTATGGGAAATCTACCAGTGGCCACACTTAAAAAATAATGATTCTCTTACTCCCACTAGTTATAAGCTGTCAATATTCCTCAGTGAGGGGTTTATATGGTCATTTCATGCCTGTATAAATTTCTCAGGAATAAAGAAAATGATAATATCCCCCAAAAGCATGGCAAGAACTAATGTATGAAAAGCAAAAGATGTCCCAGGACGTAGCTCAGTAACATACGCTTGTTTAGCACGCACAGGGCCTTAGTTCTAGTTCCCAATACTACAGGAAGTACCACACAGCCACTACAGGAAGTGCCACATAGCCACTACAGGAAGTGGCTAAGATGCCACTCAGAGGAGAGGACAGTACAAGAAAGCTGTGAGCTCAAGAGACAATGTTAAAGGGGGAAGACACCTAGGGCATGTGGAACTGTCAATAGGGTTGATGTCGTAAGTCACTGCAGAGGTAGAACAGGGAAGTACATGCCAAGGCATGATGAACCTGAGAGGCTGAGAGAAGGTGGGATACCGGGAACGGATAGATGCAATACTGAAATATAAAAACAACAGTTTCTAGAGTTAGTAAAAGGCACAAAAACTCCAGATTTAAGAGAAATGAAAAGCCGGGTGCAGTGGCACACATTTGTAATCCCAGCATGCAGAGGCAAGAGGTTCTCTGTGAGTTCGAGGCCAGCCTGGTCTACAAAAGTGAGTCCAGGACAGCCAAGGCTACACAAAGAAACCCTGTCTCAAAAAACCAAACCAAAAACAAACAAAAAAGAAAAGTAAAACAAATAAATAAAACAAATAAAAACGATCTATCTTTCAGTATCCAAGTGGGTTCCTAGTAAGGGGAACAGGGACCGTCTCTGACATGAACTCAGTGGCTGGCTCTTTGACCACCCACTTCGGGGGGGAGGAGGGGAGAGCAGCCTTGCCAGGCCACAGAGTAGGACAATGCAGCCAGTCCTGATGAGACCTAATAGGCTAGGGTCAGATGGAAGGGGAGGAAGACGTCCCCTATCAGTAGACTTGGAGAGGGGCATGGGAGGAGATGAGGGAGGAGGGTAGGATTGGGAGGGAATGAGGGAGAGGGCTATAGCTGAGATACAAAGTGAATAAACTATAATTAATATAAAAATTTAATTAAAAAAAGACATCAATCTCAACATGGATAACAGCAATGTTGCTCAGACCTGAGACCTGAAAATGTAGCAACAAGCAAAACCACTTACCTGGAAAAGGATAACAATTAGGGTGAAGACAGACTTTTTCTTTAGCAAAAATGAGATTATGGATCATAGAATAATTCCATCACACCATGAGCCTAAGTTTCATATCCACTTAATTACAGAGAAGGGTAAAAAGATATTTTCTGATAGACAGTAAGTATTTTTGATCTTCATGCAAAGAATTAAAGGATATGCTTCCATGAGTAACAGGAACCAGAGAAAGAAGTACTAGCCAAGACGCAGTGATGACTGTGAAAAAGAAAATGGGCCGGTCCCCTCAGATCTATCTGCATAAAACATTAACACTAAAAGGACTAATTTTAGTGATTCAGTAATAAGGTGAGAAAGGATTGACTGTAGGAGGAAGTTGAGGCATTCCATGATTCTTACTGTTTTGGGGTGTGAGTAGAGCTATTCATTCACTGAAAAATGTTTTAAGTACTTAGAGACATATTGATTTTTTTTTTTTTGCATACATAGAAAAAAAAAAGGCATGGAATCTGTAAATTAGGAAAAATACACACAAGGAAAAAACAACACACAGATTTGATCAAGCCAGTAAAGAGCAAGAAAAGAGGAAAAGCAATAAACCAGTGAGCATGTATAAAAGTTTATAGTTCTCTAATGACCATACTCAAAAGAAAAACAGATTTTCAGGTGGAATTTAACAAGTATTTACAATAAACACTCTCAGAAAACAATGCCAGAGAAATACTGGAACCAAAAAGATGTGCCTTGCAAATAGCTAGCCAGGTAAACACAATAAATCAGATATACCTTATTTTGCCTGTCAAGTAATAAAAAGAGCCTTTAGTAAATTTTACCAGAAAGGTATAACTACTTTGAGCTTACATGTATATGATAACAAAATTTCAAAAATTTGAAGTAAACATGGGAAAAGCTGACAATTCCACCACTATAATTCCATCAAATAAAACTGATAAGTAGATGCTATTATAGGAAAGGGGACACACTTTAAAGCACACACACACAGACACACACACACACACACACACACACACCATTTACAAAAGCCGACTGCTAACTATAATACGAGCAGATCAAAAGCAGTAACATCACCGGCAGTGTACTGTGCACAAGTTTTGGCACACAGCGGTGACGGGTGTAGCTTAGAATGGCAGGCTGCTCACTTCGTGCCGGGGCGGGGGCTGACAGAGCGAGCGACGAGGGGCACCCTGCCACATTCACCTGTGACCTTCCCATCGCCTCATCATTTCAGTGTTTGTTTAGTTTACACGCACATCGCCGGCCCTATCATGGTATATACAAAGTTGAGAGACGTCCGAG